TGTCTGCTTTCACTTAGCATAATGTTTTCAAGGTGTGCATGTTCATAACATGTATCAGTACATTATTTATTTTTATTGCTATATAGTATTCTTTTGTATGTATATACCTCATTTTGTTTCTCCATTTATCAACTGATATAAAGTTAGGTTGTTTCCACTCCTTGGCTATCCTATATAATAAAGAGGTAATGTGCTAATTAGAGCCAACAGCAGAATGACCGTCTGGACTACCTTCCAGATGAAGCTGGGGCTGTGAGGGCTGAGCCCCTTGCATGAATTTCGTGCATGGGGCCTCTAATTATAAGTAATGCTGCTATGGCCAATTTGTATACAATATTTTGCATGAATATGTTTTTATTTATCCTAGGTACATATGTAGGAGTGGAATTTCTGGGTCTTATGGTGAACATATTATATTTCACATTTTTAGGAACTGCCAAAATCTTTTTAAAAGTAGCTGTACAATTTTATATTCCTACCTAGAATTCTCATTTTCATAAAGAAAATTTCAGACCAAGATTTTCTAATAGAGATAAGTAATTCCCTATTAGAAAATTTATTCAGAATACTAAAATGTATAAAGAGTCTCCAAAACTAAAAGTCTGAATAAATTATAAGAATCTATAATTGTAAAAGGAAATTATTAAATAATCAAGAAAAAAAATTTAAATTGGAAATATTAGATGTGAAATTCTATCAAGTAGCCATAAAAATGACTAAAATTAGTTCAGCAAAATTTAATTGTATCTATCATCACAACTTTTAAATGTTCAAAATGACAATATTTGAAATTATATTGATTCACATTTCACTAATTCATGTTGAATTATTCCTCAGAGTTTCTGTTAAAGTAAAATATTTTAGCATACATGATGTATTATGTTGTCAATGATTACCACTACATAAATAAGTTTAATTTACATCAATATCAGTCAAACAAGTTACTTACACTGTGATATTCCTATGGCTCTTATATATATAGAAACCCAAATTATATTACATATGGTATGAAACAAATATTTTTTATGATCAAATCTGGTATCTATCATATCATAAGCAATGACTGCACAAACTTTCAGACTGGACCTCAAAATGGAATTTGTTCTTTTCACTTGGGTCTATATTTTTGTAACAGAGTCTATATTTGAATTTTAATAAGCTCCTCCAGTAATTAATATACACATTAAAGTTTGAGAAGCACTTGTCTGAATAATTTGCTGCATTGACCTCTTTGAATAAAACCTCTGAATTTAATCTACAGTATATTAACATTGTTCATTTAATGCAATAACATTATATAATATAATTTAAAATAGCTAGCATGTATGAGGTTTTATATAAGAAATATGGGTGCATGGGGGGGGCTAATATTGGAATGAGAAGATGTATGTAATAACTTAATAAAGAAATTAAAAGAAAAGAAATATGGGTGCAGCAAAAGTTGAACTTTCTAATTACCTTAGATGAATTCAAAGATGTACTTGAGCAATAGGAGACATTCTGATCAGACCAGTAAGTGGAATTCAAGAGTACTTGTTAGTGCTGGCACCATGTCTGTCATTTACGTCCTCAGAACCATGAATGCAACATGTTCAGTAACTTGTTTTTAATCCTTACCCGAGGATGTTTCCATTGATTTTTAGAGAGAGTGGGAGGGGTAGCGGAGAGGGAAGAGAGAGAGAGGAGAGAGAGAAATATTGATGTGAGAGAGACACACATTGATTGGTTGCCTCCCACGCATGTCCCAACTGGGACCCGGGATTGAACCTGCAATCCAGGTACATGCCCTCGACTGGGAGTCGAACCCATGACCATTCTGTGTGCAGGCCAACACTGTCACCACTGACCAACACCGGCCTGGGCTGTTCAGTAACTTTTAAAAATGATTTTTACTTCAACCTACTATTGTTAAGGGTGCTAGGATTTGATTATTCAGCAAATAATTGCCAGGAGCCTGTTATGTGCCATGCATCTGTTAGGGCTCATAAACACATTGATGGACATGGTGAAAAAAACCATAAAAGAATAGGTAGAATAGTGGCTACAGTGACCCATATTATTGGGATAAAAGGTTGACATCAAATGATTGTATTTTGTGTTTTGCTAGAGATCAATCAATGTTTAAAATGCCACCAGAATTGTTGCTACCCATTTTTTGAATGTCAGTGTCAGTACTGATCCATTGTATACCACTGTGACCTGACCCAAACAGAGATCAGCACATTTCATTTTCATGTCCTACTAGTCCTGCATAAGCCGTAAATATTAAAGAAGATAATGAGAAAAAATGGGGGTGTTTTTATGACCATCAATCTCATCATTTTCTTAAGCAGACATAATATATGACGTTGTCTTCACTAACCAGTTAAAGCAAACAAAATACTTGATTAAATTCCTTTCCTTTTTGTAACCTTTTTAATCTTTAATTTCAAACTTACAGAGAAGCTGCAAGAATAGTACAAAGAATTTCTGTGTACCAATTGTACTCACATTCCCCACTTGTTAATATTTTACCACAATTGTTTTATCATTCTCTTTATCTATCAACAGATAGACATCTATACATACACATAAATAAAAACACACATATATAACTTTTTAAAAAAATATATTTTATTGATTTATTCACAGAGAGGAAGAGAGAGGGATAGAGAGTTAGAAACATCGATGAGAGAGAATCATCGATCAGCTGCCTCTTGCACACCCCCTACTGGGGATGTGCCCGCAACCAGGCACATGCCCTTGACCGGAATCGAACCCGGGACCTTTCAGTCCACAGGCCGACGCTCTATCCACTGAGCCAAAACGGTTCCGGCATATATAACTTTTTTTGAATAATTGTTTTTAAACCATTTTCTGATTATGTATTTATTCTTTACGTTAGTTTAGACACTGAACCTACCAGTTTTGAGGATTGGATTAGAAACCCTTTCTTTGGCAAAACCGGTTTGGCTCAGTGGATAGAGCGTCGGCCTACAGACTGAAAGGTCCCAGGTTCGATTCTGGTCAAGGGCATGTACCTTGGTTGTGGGCACATCCCCAATAGGGGGTGTGCAGGAGACAGCTGATCTATGTTTCTCTCTCATCGATGTTTCTAACTATCCCTCTCCCTTCCTTTCTGTAAAAAATCAATAAAATATATTTTTTAAAAATAGAAACCCTTTCTTGAAATTTTTAGAATCTTTTCTGATTGGTGCCTCAAGTGCAGGAAAGTTAACCTTTTTTTTGAATTCATTTAGGAATTAGTAGTGTTACGACAGCCAATAGAAAAGCTAATTTAAATAAACTATACCCACTTAATTCATTGTGGCTTTTTAACTTATACATTGTGTTGAGAGGTCATGCCAGTGTAACTAAAAGGGACTGCCTCTATGACTTATTTTTTATAACATTTTAATTTAATACTGTACTTATAGTGTCGAAATTGGAGATTACCTCTCATGCCTGAAAAAACTAACTTCTTCTGGAATAAGACATAAACTAATTTGCAGTATAAACATTTTTCATTGTCCAAGTTCAAAAAATTAAGTCTTGGTAGTAATTATGAGAGAATTAAAGTAAGATTCTGGTGAGATTAATTTTTTTTTCAAAGCCAAAGCTATTTCCTTTGGGTAAATGAGCCTCCTTTGTGAGTTCTTTAACATTACAGTACTCTTTGGTAAATTTTGCCCGCTATGTTCTGAATGATGCTCTCATAGTCTGAGTGACTCACTCAAGACTGAGTAATTTCAGAATTGGAGGAATCTAGGCATTTGCTATTTAAAATGTCCATTGCTTTACCCAGACTGGTAGAAAAACAGAATCTCAGGCTCCTACCCTACATGTACTGAATCAGATCTACATTTAATAAGATTCCCCAGGTGACTGTATGCGCATTAAAATTTTAGAGCCATTATTATACTGATTGTCATTATATTCATCAGAGAAATGGTTAGGCTTTTGTTACAGTTTCTTTAAAGATGCCCTTCTTCAGCATCCTAGGAACCAATTCTGCTATGTAGGGCTTCCTCTGTCAGCTCTCCATATAGACCTGAACCAGATTTTTGCTCAAAGGGAAGAAAGAACAAGTTAGATAGGTTATTGGAAATTTCCACTTCTTTTCTTCCTTATTTCTGCAGGAGAGTAGAAAATCTTTAGATTTTTTTTTTTTTTACAGGTGCATGGATATGCTAGAGAGTGTATTTTTATTCCTTCTGGGAGGTGATTAATACTGCACTGAATAAACTAAAAACGGAAATAGCAGCTTTTTTGAGACTTCAGGGGAGCTTCTAGGATGCTAGGCACTTCTCACTGTTCCAAATACCATAAGCATTCTACAACGAGATTCTTAAGTACTCCTTTGTGCAAAATTAAAATTATTGCTAACTTATTCCTTGTCTCTTCTTCCATTGTCCACAAAGACATTTTAGTTTTAAGAATACAATATATTAGTGTTAAAAATTCAAACAATACAAAAGTATCTATAGAGTAAATTTGTTTATTTGTCTGTCATTCTGTTCCTGTTCTAACAGAAGTAGCCACTGTTCATAGTTTGGTATGTAGCCTCCAAGGCTTTCTGATGCATGTTTTCATATATAAATACACTCAAAAATTTAAATAACATTATACTGCAATGCTGTTTTGTAAATTGCTTTTGGTTCCATTTACTACACCACAAATTGCTTTAATACATATGCAAATTGTTAGCATGGTGATAAAAATCAGCTATAAAAATAAGAGCTATCCATTAACAAACTGTTCTCTACTTAGGGTTTGGGATGGAAATAATGACTGAAATAACTTGATATAACCAAAGTTTTATTTACTCAGTTTAGACTTTCCTTAAAACTGGATGGTCAGCATTGAAATTAGAAGTCACTTCCTAGAAAGTATAAAGATAACATAGGTCCAAGCTGCTTTCAAAGGAATGGGTTGACAGTGTCTGGCGGTGGATTGTGATGAATGACTAGGATGCAGCTGGAGAATACCTCAAATGAAAAGAATCTTTCCCTGTCTGCCAGGTACAAATGAGCCATTGGTGGTAATAGCTCAGCCCTCATCAGAAATGCCACATTCGACTGCAGCTAATGAATTTTATACTAAAATTATGACACCAATTCACAACAAGGAAGAGACAAAGACGTCATCTAAGTGTTACATACAAGTCACCGGTATGACTTGTGCTTCCTGTGTGGCAAACATTGAACGGAATTTAAGACGAGAAGAAGGTGAGATACTCTTAAAGCTTATTGTTTTATGTTCTAGTTTGAGAACTCCGACATTTTTGTCTTTGTATGTATTTTGTTACCATGTTTATAATTCTTGCCAAGACCTCCTAAAGACTATCAGTAATGTTCAGGATAGCCTTGACTTTCTAACAGCCAGTTGTTGTTAGAGTTTTGTTCCCTTATATATGGTTCCTATCTCGTTTGCTTTATGATCACATTTTAATATCAATGAAACTTGTAGGAAAAATATAAAAAGGAAATACATTAAATTACTATTTTTTAAAAAATATATATTGTTATTTGTTTCAGAGAGGAAGGGAGAGGGGGAGAGAGATAGAAACAATGATGAGAGAGAATCATTGATTGGCTGCCTCTCTGCACTGGGAATCGAGCTGGCATCCTGGGCACGTGCCCCTGATCAGAATCAAACCCAGAACCCTTCAGTCCGTAGGCCAACATTCTATCCACTGAGCCAAATTGGCTAGGGCAAGATTATTACTCTTTATGGACCTTGGTTGCAATGTATTTCAAAAAACATACAAATTTCCTAATAAAGTTATATGTAAAACTGACAACTAAAGTTCATAAATTGTTACTATACCTAGACCAAGCATAAGACTAAAACCAAGTTTGTTTAGAATTACTGTACATGGGTGGGAAAAAGTAGGTTAAATTACTAGCCATTGTTACTAAAATATAAATCATAAGTAAGGATATGAAATAATAACAATAAGAAGACAAATAATATAAATAATACTATAACCATACTTCAGCTAATCATGAGTGAGTATGCAAATTAACTTGACAAAGATGGCAGCGGCCCTGCCCCCTAGCCGCTCTGGGCCTGTAGGAGTCGGAGAAGTTGGGCGCCATTGCCTGAGGCTGGCTGCAGCCAGGGAGACCAAGAAGCTGCCTGCCCCATGATCCCAGGCCGCAGCCAGGTGCAGAAGCCTCATATCTGCCTGTCCCATGTCCTAGGGGAGAGAGGAAAACCAAGTGCCAGTGCCTGAGGCTGGGTATAGCCTGGTAGACGGAGAGGCTGCCCACTGTGCAGTCCTGGGCATCAGCACCTACAGCTGACTGTGTCCCGGGGGACGGAGAAGCTGCCCACCCTGTGGTCCCGGATGCCAGCACTTGCGGCTGCAGCCCAGGCAAAGCCGCCTGCCCATCATCCCCTGCGGCTGCAGCTGGCCCAGGCGCCTAGGGCTGACCAGAGGGAGGGAAGCCCGGATCCCGGGTGCCTGTGGTCTGCTGGAGGAGGGAATCCAGGGTCCCGGGTGCGGGGCTGAGGCAGAGGTGGTTAGGGGCAATCAAGCCAGCAGGGGAGCAGTTAGGGACGATCAAGCTGGCAGGCAGAAGCAGTTAGGGGCAATCAGACAGGCAGGCAAGCAGCTAGGAGCCAGCAGTTCTGGATTTTGAGAGGGATGTCCGACTGCCAGTTATACATTGAGGGGTCCCAGATTGGAGAGGGTGCAGGCCTGGCTGAGGGACACTCCTCCCCCTTCCCCCCATGCACAAATTTTGTGCACCGGGATAATAAACTGTGTTTCATATACTCACAACTGTAAATCTCTTTTGTCCACTTTTTACATTGTTCTCTTATAACAGTCTGATCGTTGAACTTTGCTTGCAGTAAAAACGTTTAAAAGTTAATATTGTGGCCCTAACTGGTTTGGCTCAGTGGTAGAGCGTCGGTCTGCAGACTGAAAGGTCCCAGGTTCAATTCTGGTCAAGGGCATGTATCTTGGTTGCAGGCACATCCCCGGTAGGATGTGTGCAGGAGGCAGCTGATTCTTGTTTCTCTCTCATCGATATTTCTAGCCCTCTTTCCCTCTCCTTTCCTCTCTGTAAAAAATCAATACAATATATTTTTAAAAAGTTAATATTGTGTAATTTTAGGTTACAAAGTCTTAGAAATTCTACATTATTTATTTAGTCACACTCAGATATTTTAGCTTATACATTTACATTTATATTATTGGACTTCATATATGGCATAGTAGATTTCTTAACCATAGAGATATGTGATTATGTTTAATGAGACTTAAGTCATGGGCACCCCTAACCCCAAGTGTCGTAGTTAAAGATACATGCTGTTAGTCACAAGGGATGAATAAGTAAGATTAGTAAAAGCTTATTCCCACTATTGGGGAAATAACTCAAAGTATATATAGTAATAAAGTAGGTCTGGGGTGAGTAGAATCACCTTATATATAAGATCAAAACATTATAACAAAATGTATACAGCGCCATTTTCATTTCAATATTGTCTTGTCTGCATTCTGTCACTTCTGCATCTTTTATTTCAGCCTCCATTATAACTAATAAAAGTGCAATCAAGGCTGAAGCTTATATTACACTTTGATTGATTAAAAAAGAAAAGGAAGGAGGTTGCAAGCAAATGAAAGCAAAAAGAAATTTCTGGGACTCCTGTTTAATTTTATAATCAACTATTTTGGGCAAGTTTCATGAGACAAGCAATGCCTGTGCCAATTACAAATCTTTTTTAAAAAAAATTATTAAATTGATTCTACCAGTTACTCTCTATTATCCCCGTTATCACCTTTTAACCCAATTAGGAATACAATTGCCGAGCTGGGGTGACTACATTGATTTTTTTCCTTTTTTTTTTTTTTTTAAACTTTTAAAAAATATATATTTTATTGATTTTTTACAGAGAGGATGGGAGAGGGATAGAGAGCTAGAAACGTCGATGGGAGAGAAACATCGACCAGCTGCCTCTTGCACACCCCCTACCGGGGACGTGCCCGCAACCAATGTACATGCCTTGACCGGAATCGAACCTGGGACCTTTCAGTCCGCAGACCAACGCTCCACCACTGAGCCAAACTGGTTTTGGCTGACTTTTTCCTTTTTAAACCAAGTAACACTGGTCTTCCCATAATTTAGGCTCATTATATTTCTAAAATTGAATAGAAACTTCTAATTATACTTTGAAGTAAGAATTTTAAAAGTATCCATAATAAATATTAAACTTATTTTTGAAACTTAATAAACCAGAATTTCCCTTCTATTTTGGTTTGGCTAAAGATTACATTCAAATGAGCAAAAAATATTTTTTTCCTACTTTCTCTATCCTCTTATTAGTGACACTTTCCTGTGTATCATTCTTCTGAATTAGTTGGTACCCACAAAGTCCAGAGAAGCACTTGATATAGAAAACTTAGGTTCTATTAGATGCTTTGTTTTCTTAATAAAAATTATTAAGTTAATATTTGTGGGAGTTTCCTTTTTATCAAACTCCAGAGCTGACCTACTGACTAGTGGTCCCATTCCTTATCAGTTAGCCACTAAGTACCACATATTCCTAGAAATAGCTGCCATTTTCTACTATGTGAAATAATTTTTCTTCCTGGCAATGAGATCAATAGCTGGCCTAGAGAAGCGTGATGTTTGTTAACAAAAGGCTTTCACCAAAGAACAGTGTGACTGCCATAACTCCTTTGTTCTGTTAACAAGTGTGTGGCACTTTTTCATTCTAGAAATAAGAGCACTTTAGATTAATGTGTGCCAGACAGTAAAACTTGGTGAATTTAAATAAATGACTATAATTTGATATTATGTGTATGTTGGTAGTCTTAAGAGTCTTTGCTACAACTGCAGTGATCTAAAATCATGAGTTCCTTTCTCTAGGACTATCGCATTAGTTTCTAAAAATGCTTTATATGATTAGGTCTCAACTCATTGCAATTCATGGACCTTATTTGGATCTTAATTCAAACAAACAAACAAAAATCTGTGTTAAATTAACTAATAAACGGTTATATGACACTTGTGGACATGTGCATATTGCCTAGATATTTAATGATATTAAATAATTATTTTAGCTGTTATATGGTATTATGCTTATTTTTAAAGAGAACAGTCTCTATCTTTAAAAAATGTATATTTAAATATTGACATGTGAAATGATATGATGTCTGAGATTTGCTTGAAAATAATCAGAGTAGAGGGCAGAGACTACTTGGATAAGAACATAGAAGAAAAATTAGCCTGGTATTATTGAAAATTGTTGAAGCTGGGTGATTGATACATCACATTTATTATGTTGTTCTCTCGTGTGTGTGTGTGTGTGTGTGTATAAAACTGAAAATTTCCATAATAAGGCCCTCTTTTCAAATAGTTTTATTTGGTTCGGTTTTAAGATTCTATTTAAGTTAAGTAACAAATTTCTCCAGATTTCCATTAATTCTTTCACAGTTAAATGAAAAACAAACATTACTCTTCTTAAAATTTTCAAAAATATTATTGATTTTGAGAGAGAGAGAAACATCAATTTGTTGTTCCACTTGTTTATGCATTTATTGGTTGATTCTTGTATGTGCCCTGACTGGGGATCAGACCCACAACCTTGCAATGTTACTCTTTTTTAAAGGTGTGTTATCTGAATTGTTTTTCTTATCAATGCTCCTAGGAATATATTCTGTACTTGTGGCTTTGATGGCTGGCAAAGCAGAAGTAAGATATAATCCTACTGTTATACAACCCCCTATGATAGCTGAGTTCATTCGAGAGCTTGGATTTGGAGCCACTGTGATAGAAAATGCTGATGAAGGGGATGGTGTTTTGGAACTTATTGTAAGTAAGAATATTTATGTAATTAATAAAATTACCAGGAAAATTTAACAATGATTCGAAAAGGAGTTCCAATCATGATTAAAGCTGGGAAAATAAGACATAAAAGGAAAATTAAGGGAACTGGAAAATGGAAGGATAAGATATAACTTAATGGTGGCCTTCAAGCATGGAATGTAAAAGATAATCATCATATCTCTATTAAGAACCAAAAAAGAAGAATTTGGTTTAAATGGATAACTGAAAATCAACTTTTAAAAATGTAGTATGATTCTTACCTATAGCATGTAAAATAATAAGTTTCAGATGCATTAAAATTTTATAAATGAAGTAAAACATATTGATTTATACTTGATCTTAGCTCAAAGGCCAAGAAGCAGTGGGGCATATTGGTTTAAAATGGTCATTTTCTCCAATCTAGCAAATCAAGTTTTGTTTGTATAACTTCAACAATTAATGAACATTTCAACCCTGTGCCAAAATAGGTTCCAGCTCAAACAAAAGTTTATATGTAAAAAATGAAACCATGAAATTTCTAGAAGAAATATTTGGAGCTTTTTTTTTTTTTTTTTTAATATGCTAGCATTAAAATTTCAAACATCAGAAAAATCAAAAGTGTTATACAGTGGACATCCTTATACACACCACCAAGATTCTGCAATTAACATTTTACTATATTTGTTTTTATAATACATAAGGCTATCAATACATTATGGAAATAATTTTAGACTCACAAATAAGTTACAAAAATGGCACAGAGAATTTCCATGTAACCTCTACCCAGATTTCCCTAATGATAGCATCTAATTTGTCATTTAAAAAATAACATTAGAGTAGGAAGGGCCTATTTTAAAAAATCTCATATAACATCCACAAATGAAAAGATGGATAAATCAGGTACATAACATTTTCTTCTTGGGGAAAAAGCAACATAAAGCCAAAGAGAAGTAAAATAATTGTAATTCATCTCATAGATGGTTAATTTTCTTAATATATGAGAAACTGTTATAAATCAATAAGAAAAGAGCCAACAACCCAAAAGAAATATGGTAAAGGATATGAACAGACAGCTCACAGAAAAACCAAAACATTGCCTCTTTAAACATATGGAAAGCTATTCAACTTCATTTTAATAAGAGTAAAGCAAATCTAAACTTCATTGAAATGCCATTTTCTACCTATTAGATCAGTAAAACTTAAAAACAATTTTTGTTAACACTGTGTTTGTGATCTCTCATATTGCTCTTGCAGTGTCAGTTGCTTTAAGCTCTTAGCAGGAATTTGACAATATTTATCAAAAGTAAAGTTGTGTATAGCTTTTGCCTCAGAAGCTTCGCTTGTAGCAAGTTATCAAACACATTTGCATACTAGTATGTATGAAATGATGTGTAAAGATGTTCATTAGATTTTTACTTATAATATCAAAAGATAGGAAAAAACTAAATGTCAGTTATTGGGGAATAGGTAAATAAATTATGACACATACATACTGTAGGATACTAAACAGCTATTAAAAAGAATGGGCAGATTTTTACTTTTTAAAGGCTTTAAAAATTAATAGCTTTATTGAAACATAAATCACAAAGTATAAACCCCTTTTAGAGTGTACAATTCAGTGGTTTTTTAGTATATTCTTGGAGTGGTGCTAGTATCACCTCAAACAAAATTGAAACAAACTCATAGTCTCAAATAGCAGACTGGTGATTGCCAGAGAGGAAGGTGGTTATTGGAACTGGGTGAAAGGTGAAGGGATTAAGAAGCACAAATTGGTAGTTACAAAATTGTCCTGAGGATGTAAATTACAGCACAGGAAATATACTCAATAATCTCTAATAATAAAATCATAATATGCTAATTAGACCAGATGTCCTTCCCGCTGAAACTGTGGTTGGCAGGGGCTGAGCCCCTTTCACAAATTTCATGCATTGGGCCTCCAGTCTCTCTCTCTCTCTCTCTCTCTCTCTCTCTCTCTCTCTCTCTCTCTCTCTCTCTCTCTCCATATATATATATATATATATATATATATATATATATATATATATGTATATATATATGAAAGGCTAATATTCAAAGCGTCCCCTCAGAAGTTTGACCAGGAGACTGGGAGTTCCATTGCTCGCTATGACATGTGCTGACCACCAGGGGACGGTGTGGAACGAAGGAAGGCCCCATCTGGCAGCTGGAAGGCTGTTCTGATTGCTGGCCAGTCCTAGGGACTCTACCCATGCATGAATTTCGTGCACTGAGCCTCTAGTATTCTAATAACTATGTATGGTGCCAGCTGTACACTAGAATTATTGGGGACGATCACTTTGTAAATTATATAATTGGCTACACACTGTGCTGAACACCTGAAACTAATATAAAGTAATATTGAATGTCAACTGTAATTGAAAAAATTGCTGGTATAACATCTTTGTCTAGTAAGTCCAGTGTTTGGGCTTCTTCAGGGACATTTTCTATTGATTGCTTTTTTCCCTGCTTATAGACCATACTCATTTCATTGCATGGTCTCATGATATTTTTGTTAAAAATATAGCAACTTTGGAAATAAGATTCTTCTCACCTCTTCAAGGTTTTCTCTTGTCATCATTTGTCGTAGTTGTTGTTTGTTTAGTGACTTTTCTGAACTAATTCCATGGAGTCTATATTCTTTGTTGTGTGTGGCCACTGAAGTCTCTGCTTTATTAGCTCAGTGGTTAAAGATTTGATAGAGATTTTCTTAAGGACCTGAAACCAGTAAGTCTCTCAGTCTTTGCTGAGGAACTCTGTGTAAATGTTGGGACATGCCTTCAGCACTCAGCTATGTGCATGTCAGTTTTGCCTTAGCTTTCACTTTCTGTCTCCACAGAGCCTAAAGATAAGCCTGAGGTGAGAGGTTAGGGTCCTTTTAGGGTTTTTTTCTGTGCACAGCTCTGGACATGTGCACAACCCTATGCTTGTGCATTGTCTTCTAGATTCCTAGGAGAATGTTGGAACTGTTATGGATGTCTTGCTTCCTTGTTTTTCCTTTTAGGCTCTGTGGTTGGCCTGTTGTTTGCACCAGCTGTTATCCATTGGCTCAGGCAGCCATAAGATTAAATAATTACCTCTATCTGTTTTTGTCAAATTCTTCCAGAGGAAAAAGCTTTTTTGTACTTTCTGAGCTCCAGTCAGAGCAAATACAGACATCTTTGCAAGTGGAATAGTTCATAGAACCATCAGATGGCTCCAATAATGAAAACTTTCTGATAAAAAGATTTTGAATGAGTTCCAACCCTTTTTGCCCTCTCTGGTGGCTTCTGTTGCAGGTTTTATTTGTTTGTTTGTTTGTTTGTTTTTTATCATGATTGTGAGCTGGTGGTCTTCATGACGACACAGAGCTGGAGAGGAGGGGAAATTATAATGCACATAGGTTAGTGTTTTATTGGGATTCATCTGATTTTTCTTGAATAAATGCTTCCTGGGTTGCTGAAAATTTTTGTCTAAGTTCCAAATTTCTAAAAAAGTTGCTTTTAACAATCCCACCCCCCACAGTTTTTCATTGCTTTTATGAAGGAGAAAATTTTCAGAAACCCTTACTCCATCATTACAGATATCCGTATAGTAGATATTCTTGAATAAATGCTTTTCAATTCATTACATACTTTTTGGTTACTTCCCAGAGTCTTTCAACACTTTTTTTTTTGTTTTTATTTTTCAATTACAATTTATTTTAAATATTATTTTATATTGTTTTCATGTGTTCAGCATAGTGGTTAAACAATCATATACTTTACAAAGTGTTCCCTTTGATATTTCTAATACCCACCTGGCACCATACATAGTTATCACAATATTATTGGCTATATTCTCTATGCTGTACTTTATATTCCTGTGACTATTTTGTCACAATCAATTTGTACTCCTTAATCCTTTCACCTCTTTCATCCAGTCCCTCAACCATTTATTTTGTTCTTTAGATTCCGCATATAAGTGAAATCATATGATATTTGTTTTTCTTGGACTGACTTATTTCATGAGTGTAATACTCTCTAGGTTCACCCAAGCTGTTGCAAAAGGTAATATTACATACTTTTTATGGCTGAGTAATATTTCATTGTGTAAATGTGCCACAGCTTTTTTTATCTACTTATTTATTGATGGGTACTTTGCTTGCTTCAATATCTTAGCTATTGTATATAACTGCAATGAACATAGTGATGCATATAGTCTTTCAAATTAGTGTTTTGGGTTTCTCCAGATAAATACTAGAAGTGGAATTGCTGGATCATAAGGAAGCTCCATTTAAAAAAATGTTTTTTTATTGATTTTTCAGAGAGAAGAAGGGAGAGGAAGAGAGAGAAATAGAAACATCAACGATGAGAGAGAATCATTGATTGGCTGCCTCCTGCACACCCCACACTGGGGATTGAACCTGCATGTCGCCTGACTGGGAATCGAACCCCTGATATCTTGGTTCCTGGGTTGCTGTTCAACCATTGAGCAACACCAGCCAGGCAGAAAGTTTCGTTTTTAATTTTTTGAGGAAACGCTATACTTTTTTTCATAGTGACTACACCATTTTGCATCCCCACCAACAGTGCACCAGGGTTCCTTTTTTCCCACATCCTGGCCAAAACTTGTCATTTGTGGATTTATTGATTATAGCCATTCTGACAAGGGTGAGGTGATATCTCATTGTGGTTTTAATATGCATTTCTCTGACAATTGGTGACATTGAGCATTTTTTCATATCCCTGTTGGTCATCTATATGTCTGTCCTCTTTGGAAAAGTGTCTATTCAGGTCCTCAGCTCATTTTTTAATTGGTTTGTTTTTTGTATTTTTTTGGTGTAGAATTGCATGAGTTCTTTATAAATTTTGGATATTTACCCCTTATCAGATGTAATATTCTGTGGGTTGTCCTTTCATTTCATTGATGGTTTTCTTTGCTGTGCAAAATCTATTTAGTGTGACATAGTTCCATTTGTTTACTTTTTGTTTCCCTTGCCTAAGAAAATATATCAGAAAAAATATTGCTAAGAGAAAATCAGAAATTTTACTATGTTTTCTTCTAGGAATTTTATGGTTTTGACTCTTACATTTAAATTTTTATTCCATTTTGAGTTTATTCTACATTTTGTGAGAAGTTGGTCTAGTTTCTTTCTTTTTCCCCCTATATATCTGTCCAATCTTTCCAGCATCACTTTTAATAGCTTTTTGAAATGTTTCTCCAGTTTTACCATTGCTTTTTAGGGAAAAGCAATGGTAAAACTAGATGAGCTCCTTATACTATCACCCCAAAATTCCTGCCTCATGACTTTAGAATTTAATATGCAACTGAACTATATATAAACTCACTCAACACATAGGGCAAAAATATTTTAGACAAATGTAGAACATTTTGTCATCCATTAACCTTTACTGAAAGTAATACTAAAGGCTATGTAATTTAGCAGGATGAAGAAATATATAGAGGGAAGCAAGACATTAAATACAAGAAACAGTGATTTGTGAAATTTGTACAAGGAGTAGTGAGAGGAAGAAACTTTTGAGATCCTCTTCTGTGTAACCTGTTCAGCTCGACCTTACCCTTGTTCAATGTGATATAAAAAGTGTTCTAAAAATGTTCTAATGGTCATATCTAAAGGATATTAATAGTGCAGAAGATCTTGTGTGTTAATCCCATGTTACAAAAGTTATTTTAAAGTAATAACTCATGTTTAATGGAGGAAAATTGTATTTCTGAATAACGTTTTTGTGTTTAATAGGTGAGAGGAATGACGTGTGCCTCCTGTGTACATAAAATAGAGTCTACCCTCACAAAGCACAGAGGTATATTCTACTGCTCTGTGGCCTTGGCAACCAACAAAGCACATGTTAAATATGATCCAGAAATTATTGGCCCCAGAGATATTATTCATATAATTGAAGTAAGTGTCAATTTCTGTGTTCTTGACTATTTAATCAACACACCTTTGAATTACTTATGTTTGTATCAGATAGAGACAATGAAAAAAATCTGACACATTTGGTTACTCTAGATAGCATCTGGATCAAAATTTAATGTAAATTTTGTAATCTGCCTTTTTATGGTATTTTTCAGGAAGAGGTAAGCAAAGGCATACTGACACTATAAATCAGGAGCCGACTTAAACTGGAAACACAAGGATTTAAAAATGTTTAAAAAATGGAAGTGAAATACAATTTGTTATGAGTGAAATATATGTTAATCATGAAGGAAATGAAGCATCTTGCTAGATGCTTTATTGTTTGTTAAGTCAAAGCAAAAGTTGTATTTTTAAGTTAAAGTAAGAAATTTAAAGGACCAAACACTTTTCTTTATGATAAATTCATCTTGTGTTTTTCAATATATCTTACATGTGGACATGCTTTAAAAGTTTCAGTGTAGTATAGCATTGGTGTTATAATCTAAAGCACATTAGTAGTTCAGATAAGATCTTTTTAAAAATATATTTTTATTGATTTCAGAGAGGAAGAGAGAGGGATAGAAACATCAATGATGAGAGAGAATCATTGATTGGCTGCCTCCTGCATGCCCCGCACTCATTTTTTATTTATTTGGGTCCTCTCTCTTTGTTTCTTGATAACTATGGGTAAAGTTTCATCAATCTTGTTTATCTTTTAAAGAAACAGCTCTTGGTTTCATTGATTTTTTTTTTTTTGCCTTTCTTTCTACTCTAACCTTGATTATTTCTTTCCTCCTAATTACACTGGGATTTTCTTTTCTTTTCCCCTCCCCCTGCTGACACTGGACAGTTTTTTTTTTTTGTGAAAAACCATGGTGTGGGAGGGAGAGACTTGTATGGACAGGACCAGGGCCCATCTGGGGGGATTTAGCTGGACATCAGGCATTCCTCCATGTAGATTTAGAGACAACATTTTCATGGTTACTCCCCCTCACCCTAGAGAGCCGAGTGGGTGAATAGGGGCCACCCTAGGCACTGCTGGGAGCCTTGGCCAGCAGGGCTTCTATGTCAGGCTCGATGTCAATGGTTGGGAAGCAGCGGCTGTGCCTGCGCCCAGGCAGGCCTTCCGAGCCCCCCAGGAACTTCTCGGAGTTCCAGGCTAAGTCCTTGCGGCACACGGGATACCAGGTAATGAACTTGGGGTCTGTCATGAGCACAGTGGCATCTTTACTGGGTGTGGCAGAGCCTTGCGCAGGCAGAGGAAGAGGGGGTGCACCTGTGCCATTCACCTAGCACTTTTCTAAGAGCTTGAAATTGAGCTGGAACCCGCCACCAAGCCTAACATACTTGAGGGAATTCAGGATCTCTTCGTTCTTGCGTTCTCCTACTGCCCGAACTGGCTGCAGGGAAAGCTGAGCACAACCAGGCTCATTCGTCTGGGTGTAGTCGGGGACCCTCATGCCTCAGAGCGAGGCTACATTCTCAATGAGCAGCGCCTGGCCCTGCAGGGAGCCCCGGCTCACGGGCTCCCCACTGGCCAGCGGGCACATAGAGAACGCGTGTGTGCCCAGTCCATCCAGCGCCATCTGAGCAGCAGAGCACGTGGCATAGGGATTGCAGAATAGGGAGCGCTGGGGACAGGAACACCTGGGCTTTTCCTTTTCTTTTTCTTTTCATTGTTTAAAGCAGTGGTTGGCAAACCGCTGCTCTCGAGCCACAGGTGACTCTTTGGCCCCTTGAGTGTTCTAACGCCACTTCTTCAAAATACAATAGACTCTCCCAGGCCCAAAACCAACTTTTGCTTATGGGCCACGAAGTTTCAATCACACAGTACGTGCACGCCCACATGTGGTATTTTGTGGAAGAGCCACACTCAAGGGGCCAAAGAACTGCATGTGGCTCGTGAGCCACGGTTTGTCGACCACTGTTTTAAAGCTGCACTTGAGTAAAATCATTAGTTTGAGAACAGTAATAAGAATTGAGAAGGTACTTATTTCTTTGACTAAAGTTTATAAACAAAGGTAATTAAGAAAGGAATCACATTTTCATCTTTATATTCCCCTACAGTAACTTGGCACTCAGTAATTGAATTGTTCTTAATGATAATACCATGGTTTAGGATAGGGGTGTCAAACTCAATCAGAGAAGGGGCCAAAATCTAAAATCCAGCCTAAATCGCGGGCCGAATGGTTTACTGAACAGTCATAAACTGTCATTGTGATGGAAACGCAGCGGAGTGCAGTGATGACAGCGCGGTGCGGGCCATATTGCAAGGCCTGGTGGGACGGATTTGGCCCGCGGGCCTTGTGTTTGACACATGTGGTTTAGGATTTCATTTATTATTTATACATTCAGTAAAATACTTGTTTTCTCATGAATTTCCTTCAGAGCTTAGGTTTTGAAGCTTCTTTGGTCAAGAAGGATCGGTCAGCAAGCCATCTAGACCATAAACGAGAAATAAGACAGTAAGTACTTTTGGAGTGTCAGTGAAAAACAGATTGTGACTCTTTGTTAGAAATTTAATATCCTCTGAGCATGTCAGTTTTTACAATATCATCCTTACTCTTGGTGGATTGGTCTCAACTCGTATTTACCTATACTACTTAGAATCTTTAAGCTCTAACTACTTACTAAAAGGATTTTTCTTTTCTACATAAGATGGAGACGGTCCTTCCTTGTGAGCCTCTTTTTCTGTATACCTGTAATGGGACTAATGATATATATGATGGTTATGGACCACCACCTTGCAACTCTTCACCATAATCAGAACATGAGTCAAGAAGAAATGGTCAACATGCATTCTTCTATGTTCCTGGAGCGCCAGATCCTGCCAGGATTGTCCATTATGAATTTGCTATCTTTTTTATTGTGTGTACCTGTACAGGCAAGTGAAATGTTAGCAAGTATATTTGTTAATAATGAAGACTAGCTAAAATGTGGCAGGCATCCCTGGCTGGTTAGCTCAGTGGTTAGAGTGTCAACCTGTGGACCTAAGGGTTGCGGTTTGATTCCCAGTCAAGGGCACATACCTCCGTTGCAGGTTCAATCCCCAGCCCCAGTCAGGGTGCAAGTGAAAGGCAATCAATTGATGTGTGTCTGTCATGTAATTTATTTCTCTCTCTCTCTCCTTCCCTATCATCTCTCTTCCCTCCTTTTAAAAAAAATATATTTTATTGATTTTTTTACAGAGAGGAAGAGAGAAAGATAGAGAGTTAGAAACATTGATGAGAGAGAATCATCGATCAGCTGCCTCTTGCACACCCCTTACAGGGGAGGTGCCTGCAACCAAGGTATGTGTCCTTGACCGGAATCGAACCCGGGACCCTTCAGTCTGCAGGCTGACGCTCTATCCACAGAGCCAAACCAGTTTTGGCTTCTCTCCCTTCTACTCTCTCTAGAAATCAATGAAAAAAATAACCTCTGGAAATGAGGATTAAAATAATAATAATAATAATAATAATAATAATAATAATAAAATGTGGCAAGCAAGGCTATTTTTAGTTGGAAAGCATATGTTTGCCAGAAGCCTATCATTTTATTCTGGATGCTTTATAAAAATAATCTTTAACTGAGTGGTTAAAGTAAATAATAAATTCTGCATAACTCCTAAAGATACTGTTTAGTGACAAAGCAGATAATAAGAGAGTTTAATTTGTATTCAGATATGAATTTGATATTCATTCTGCTATTGTATGTAAATTTATATTTTAAATTATTATAACAATAAGATATCCTGAGCCTAAATACCGCAGCTGGCTCACTTCTACCTCTGTAACTTTCTAAATAAAATTTCTCTTCTAATTAAAAAAAATACATTTTGTTTATTTAATATTTTAAAATTAATTCTATTTATATTAATGATATTAAATATATTTTAGTGTTATTAGTTTATTATTTAAAATACAATACTTATAATAATTATATTGCTTTTCCTCAGCACTTAAATTCATTACTTTTTGTATGTTTTCAGTTCTTCTTTTGAGATAAACTTTTACTGTGGAGCACTTCCATCTAATAACTACATTCCTTTTTCTGATCCTTGTAAAAGGCAATAATGATTTTTAAACATTTTAGTGTGTTTCTCTATACTAATGAAAAATAAGCTTTTGGGTTATGTTTACCAACAAAACCAGCCAACAGATCTAATAGCTTAGGTATACCACTTAGGTTCAATTTTGGAAAGGGGGAGATGAGTTTTATATAGAAAAATCCTTGTAAAAAGAGTGTAATTCATTTTCTATCGATAGTTCTTATTTTTGCTAGGATCAAAAAGAAAATTCTAAGAACCATCTGAGTTTATATTATGGAATATCCATTGGACTATGGAGGACAGCTGCCAAGGGCTTGTACAACAATTTGAATCTTTATGCACACATATCTGCTAAAATACAAACTATTGTTTCAACTTAAAAATCTCTCGTTATTGTTTATGGATTAGATAAAAGCCAAATGAAGTTAACATTGATATCGTATCTTAGCTATTGAGTTATATATGTGAATTTCAGTATTTTTTAAAAAAGCAATGATTATTGTTTCTACATTACAGTTTTTCGGAGGCTGGTATTTCTACATTCATGCCTACAAAGCACTGAAGCATAAAACTGCAAATATGGACGTACTGATTGTGCTGGCCACCACCATTGCATTCGCCTACTCTTTGGTTATTCTTCTGGTCGCAATGTATGAAAGAGCCAAAGTGAACCCTGTTACTTTCTTTGACACACCTCCTATGCTGTTTGTGTTTATTGCATTAGGCCGGTGGCTGGAACATATAGCAAAGGTAAAGTTAGAAAAGGTGACATTTGCTAAATCTTGGGTAGCTAAGTGACCATAATATTTTCTAGACAAGTTATTGGAAATAGATATTGATTTAAATAATCACTTACTGAAATAAGTGTGTTTGTTTGGCAGTATTTTAAGTTAAGTATTCCTTTAGAAGATTTCAAAATTTCTGGAATTAATACTATAGATTACATCCATGTTTATTTTAAGAGAGAGGCATTCAAGAAGTAGTTATTTTTTTATGTATATCATGAAAAATTGATGTGACCACAGTATATAAAATAACAATAGAAGAAAATTTACCTATAATCTCACTTTATAATGGAAATCACTTTATAATTCTGTTCTACATATGTTTATATTTTCCAGAGTGGCAAAGTTAATATTACATACCCCTTTGTACTCTTTTTTAAAAAAAATATATTTTATTGGTTTTTTACAGAGAGGAAGGGAGAGGGAGAGAGAGTTAGAAACGTCGATGAGAGAGAAACAGCGACCAGCTGCCTCTTGCACACTCCCTACCAGGGATGTGCCCGCAACCAAGGTACATGCCCTTGACCGGAATCGAACCTGGGACCTTTCAGTCCGCAGACCGACGCTCTACCACTGAGCCAAACCGGTTTCAGCCCCTTTGTACTCTTAACACTATATAGTTTCCCCCCCCATTTTTGCAGTCGAGATACTTATTTGGCATTTATAAATAATATTATATCCAACCAACATGCTATAATTTACTAAACTATTCTGGTTTTTGTCCTCAATTATAATCCAATTTAAAAAATATATTTTTATTGATTTCAGAGAGAAAGGGAGAGGGAGAGAAACATCAATGAGAGTCATTGATTGACTGCCTCCTACACACCCCACACTAGGGATTTAGCCTGCAACCTGAGCATGTGCCCTGACCAGGAATCAAACCATGACCTCCTGGTTCATAGGTTGATGCTCAACCATTGAGTCACGCTGGCCGGGCTCCAATTTTTAATTTTAGATAAACCTGCATTAAACATATTCATGTCTAATGTCATTTCTATTGAATTAGTGTCTTAGGATAAATTACAAAGCATATGATTAAAAGACATAATGCTTTCTGTAGTTTATGCTACAAGTTGAAACAATTCTTGCTAGCAAGGGTATGATAGTGAAGTAGTTTTACTACAACATCATCAGCACTGACTCTTATCTAAATTCTTGAAATGATATAATATAATAGGGATAAACATTTTCCACACATCAGATATTATATTTCTTCTTTAAAATTTTAAATTGATTTATTAGAGAGAGAGAAGCATTGATTTGTTGTTGTTCCACACATTTATGTTCCACTGGTTGTTTCTCACATGTTTCTCACATCCCAGAGATCGAACTTGAAACCTTGGTATAGTGGGACAATGCTCTAACCAACTGAGTTACCTGGCCAGGGCTTATATTTCTTCTTAGATGAATTGTCTATTTATGTCCTTTGCTTGTGTACCTATTGGGTTCCTGATGTTTTTCTTATTAATTTACATTATTTACTTATAAATTATAGCTAATTATACATTTTATATTTTGTGTACTTTATATTTTTGAAGTATTTTCTGACTTGAACTAATTAACATTCCTAAAGCTTTCTTATAGTTAAATATGAAAATTATATCTTTATTTTAGGTAATAACTGGACTTTTTCTTCCATAGCATTGTTGACTGTTTTTTTTTTTTTTTTTCATTTATAGGGTAAAACATCAGAGGCTCTTGCCAAGCTAATTTCACTGCAAGCTACAGAAGCAACTATTGTAACTCTTGACTCTGATAATATCCTTTTGAGGTATTTATCTTTATTATTCCCACTTTTCCTTTTTACCTCCTTATGAAAATATCAAATATATACAGAAGTAGATAGTAGAGTATAATGAATGCACATAACCCATTTCCCAGATTTAACAATTATTCACATTTATAACTGTAACACCATTTTGCATCTAACAAAATGAACAAAAAACTCTTTAATCTCATCTAATAAGCAGTCTATATTCACATTTCTCCTGTTGTTCTGAAATGTTTTAAGTTTTATTGTTGGAAATGGAATTCAAGCAAGGTCCATGGTCATTATATTTGATTCTTTTAATCAAATGCATGATTCTTTTAATCTAGAACAGCTCATCTTTCTCTTTTACACTCCTTCCCCCCCCCCCCCCCCCCCCCCCCCCCCGTCTCCCTCTCCATACAATTGACTTGTTAAAGAAACATCCATCAGTTGTCCTGTATATCCCAGTTTGGATTTGTCTTTGCTTCTGTGTGGTGTCATTTAACTTGTTTTATAACTCCTGTGTTACCTGTAAACTAGAAGTTAGAGCTAAAGGCTTGACTAGATTTCATTCTTTTGTATTTCTCATTTGTATACTCATAAAATTATTTAGACAAATTTATACAACAAATTGTTTAGTTAACTAAAATCTATTATATTATTTTCTAAGGGTTTCATTTATTTGATCAATGACTATTCAATAAATATTTAGAGTGCCTACTTTGTACCAGAAATTGAGCTGTCCCTCACCAGTTAACAGGACTGACATAGTAGTTCTAGCTTAAATGTTGATTCTAGCCTCCATTGGTAACAATTATGGAGCTCCAGCTTGATGTGAATTGAAAAGCTTGCACGGAAAAATCAGCATGAGAAGCATATTATAACAATGCTTTTTATTTTAACTCATATCCATCCAGTGAAGAACAAGTGGATGTGGAACTTGTACAACGTGGAGATATCATTAAAGTGGTTCCAGGAGGCAAATTTCCAGTGGATGGTCGTGTTATCGAAGGACATTCTATGGTAGATGAGTCCCTCATCACAGGTATGTTCTTCAGAGGGTCATGAAAGTGAAGTGAATCCAAAATGTTAATGAACAATAGGCATGCAAGGTGAAGAGCTTTTTGTAGAAATTGCAATGAGTAAATAATGAGCAAAGAGAATATGAGTTATTTAAAGACTGTATTACAATAAGTTGTCCTGCCTGGTGTGGCTCAGTTGGTTGGGCGTCGTCTCATGCACCAAAAGGTTGCTGGTTCGATGCTGGATCAGGGCACATGCCCCAGTTGTGGGCTTGATCCCCAGTAGGATCAATGCTTCTCTCTTTCCTCTCTATAAAAAAATCAATAAACATATTTTTAAAAGACTGTATTATGTCAATTCCTGCAGATTTACTTTGTGGTTTTAGTTATGCTAAGTGAAGGCTCTTTTCACTAAGAATTTTTAATTACTAGAAAATATATCCACAGGAAATTGTCTAATTCTCCTGTAGAGCCCAGTAAGACTGACAAATTTACCTGACCAAATACCTATTTTGTCTTCCTGCCCTAAAGATTGTTCTAGTCTGAGCAGTAATAGGACTCCAGGTTTTCCACATCAGCGTCTGCTCTCAGAGAGCAGTTTTAGAAGACTTAGATAACTAAGGCCAATTTGAAGCAGAACCAACATAACAACCCTTAGGAGAGTGACAGGAGAAGCTCCGCTTATGGACCAGGTGGAAATAACTTAGGACAGTGGTTGGCAAACTCATTACTCAACAGAACCAATATCAACAGTACAACAATTGAAATTTCTTTTGAGGGCCAACTTTTTTAAACTAAAACTTCTTCTAACATCACTTCTCCAAAATAGACTCGCCCAGGCCGTGGTATTTTGTGGAAGAGCCACACTCAAGGGGCCAAAGAGCCGCATGTGGCTCGCAAGCTGCAGTTTGCTGACCACAGACTTAAGACTCTGTGTTTTTTCAGTAGGTGTGCAATTGCCAGTTTGAATGGGACAATTCTTAGTGCTGAGGAACTCTCTTGCACATTGTAATATATTTAGTGTTCTTGACCATGGCCCACTAATTAGAGTAGCAGCACCCCATCACCCATCAGCAGTTATTATAAGAACTCCCTCCCACATGTATAAATGTTCCTTGGGAATAGGCTAAGAATAACATGATCTAAATCTAGGGTAGAGTTCCAAAAGGATCTTGCAACAAGAGGTAGCATGTTAGGTTTTTCCAGTTTAAGACAGTATGCCTAGGTTTGACCCAGAACTGACATAAGGAAATAGGGCAGCTTTCACCTGGGAATTTGTCCAAATTCTATTTCATGAAGTAAGAATTTTCTTTCTAGATATTTTTTTTGACAATGAACAAATAATGGTATATTTCAAGATAGTGCTTATTTTTACTCCTTATACAGGGGAGGCAATGCCTGTGGCCAAGAAATCTGGCAGCACAGTGATTGCTGGTTCCATTAACCAGAATGGGTCACTACTTATCCGTGCAACCCATGTTGGAGCAGACACAACGCTTTCTCAAATTGTGAAACTTGTGGAGGAGGCACAAACATCAAAGGTAACTTACCTAGGAGAAACAGAAAGTATTTTATTTAAAGCTTACTTAGTATAAATCTTTATTTAGTTTTCATATTTTCCTTTGATTAATTCTAATTACGTCAATAAGGAATTTATTTAAAAAGCTCTGTGTTCTATTTATTATAAAAATGAGACTTTGATTTATATAATATATATATATCTCATTATTATTTCTTTTATTATTATTAAATTCTAGGCTCCTATCCAGCAATTTGCAGACAAACTCAGTGGCTACTTTGTTCCTTTTATTGTTATTATTTCTATTGCTACCCTCTTGGTTTGGATTATAATTGGATTTGTGAATTTTCAAGTTGTGGAAACCTACTTTGCTGTAAGTGTGACATATAACAATATTTTACCATATGTAAAACAGTTTGTGTATTTTTTGCATAAGTAATTAATTGGAAAGTAACCTTAATAATTACTAGTATCTTTAAGGGACTGGAGTGGGAGGTTGGTAAGAATAACATTTGCATTTCTATAAATATAGAAGATTTCTTTTTAGAAAGATTTTTTTCACTCCATAGTTTGTAACTGTAAATTGGTAAAATTGAAATCTTGATTTGGGACCATGACTTATTTACCAGTTATGTCACAATTTCTTTTATTCATAAATAAATTTTAAATGTTTTTCTTATTAGTAACTAAAACATATAAGTGGTAGTTAAGTAGGATTATGTATGACTTCAAAATTGAGATTTTGTTTCAGTAGAGTTAAACTTTGTTTTATATAGCTCTAAATCAGTAACCAAGATTTTTGCTTTTCTTCTAAAGGGTTACAACAGAAGTATCTCCCGAACAGAAACAATAATACGCTTTGCTTTCCAAGCCTCTATCACAGTTCTGTGCATTGCATGTCCATGTTCACTGGGTCTGGCAACTCCAACTGCTGTGATGGTGGGCACAGGAGTAGGTGCTCAAAATGGCATACTGATCAAAGGTGGCGAGCCATTGGAGATGGCTCATAAGGTAAGATAGTCCCCAGAACTGTCCCATCCAAACTGGCAATAGCACAACCACTGAAAAACACAGTGCTCTAAATTATTTCCACCTGGTTCATAAACCAAGCTTCTGGCACTATCCTGAGGTTTGAGGTAGGAAAGGTATTATTTTGGTTCTGCTCCAGATTGTCCTTAATTACCTAAGGCCTCTAAAACTACTAGATCAGTGGTCAGCAAACTCATTAGTCAACAGAGCCAAGTATCAACAGTACAATGATTGAAATTTCTTTTGAGTCAAATTTTTTTAAATTTAAATTTCTTCTAACGCCACTTCTTCAAAATAGACTCGCCCAGGCTGTGATATTTTGTGGAAGAGCCACACTCAAGGGGCCAAAGAGCCACATGTGGCTCATGAGCCGCAGTTTGCCGACCACGGGACTAGACTCCTACACCTTTTGAGCAGATGTTGATGTGGAAAATCTGGATCCTATCCCTTCTTGTCTTTGGGGCAGGAAGACAGAGGGGGGTGTTTGCCCGGGTCTTTCAGGCTTCTAACCTATTTGTGTGTGGCTCCATGTTTGTGTTCTTCACCGTGAGGTAGCACTTGTGGTTACATTACAGTTTCTTTGCCTTTCTGCCACCAGATGTCAGTTGTAAACTGACATCAGGAATATAATTCTCCCCCTGGTCTCTCTCATATTAGGATTTTCATAACAATCTCAATCAAGGCTGCTTGACTTCAACTAAAACCATGTTCCTTCTAGTATGTTCTTATTATGAGGATATGAACTATATAGAGATCCATGCACATACTAAACAACAGTTTAAAACAGATTTGGAACCTCATCTAGTGAATATAGGCTATTAATTTTTATTGGAATTTTAAAATTTTGATATAATTTCAAATTTAAAGAAAAATCACAAGAATAGTATAAAGAATTTCTGTATATCCTTTACTGCAGATATCAGCCTCCTTTCCTAAGAAGAATGATATTTTTTTTACATAACCACAGTATAAAGTTCAAAATCAATAAATCAATATTGATATAATCCTATTATCTAATCAATAGTCCATATTCCAGTTTCCTCAGTTGTCACCAAAATACCTTTATAGCTATTTTTTAAAAAATATGTTTTTATTGACTTCAAGGAGGAAGGGAGAGGGAGAGAGATAGAAACAACAATGATGAGAGAGAATCATTGATTGGTTGCCTTCTGCACACCCCACACTGGGGATTGGAGCCCACAACTTGGGCATGTGCCCTGACTGGAATTGAACCGTGACCTCCTGGTTCATAGGTCAATGCTCAACCATTGAGCCACACCTGCTGGGCCTTTATAGCTATTTTTCCTCTTGTCAAGAATCATGCTTTCTATTTAATTGTCATATTTTTCATCTAGGTTCCTCAAGTTATTTATTTTTCAGGGTTTGTATTTTGAGTTTACTGTGAGGTGACTGTGTTTTCTAATTGCAGACTCTTCCTATTCCTGTCTGGGTTGCAGTTCCCTCATTGATTCCTTGATCTCTCTCTTCAATAATGTCAAAGCAGCCCAGCAGGTTTTATCTGGTGCTCATTTCAACTTAATTATTTACCTTTCTTTTATAATTATCTTTTATAATTATCTCCCTAATGCCCATATTTCCCCTATAGATCTAATTCATTGCTATCTAAAGTCTTTATCTTTCCCTAGAGGCACTAGAGACATCTCTTAATTAACTATTAACTATTAACCTTTAACAATTAGTTCTAGGTGTTTAACATGTATCCACAGTAGGTTAAACATTTGCAGTATGTGTGTGTGTGTGGGGGGGGGGAGGGGGAGTAACTAAAGGTATTTCTTCCCTTATTCTCCCAAAGACAGTTTATTAAGTTCAAACTTATTAAGAAGTAAACTTCTTTCTTATTTCTGGAAAGGTGATATTAAAGATTATCAAGTCATATAGGTGTACTGTATTTTAACTTTCTTACAGGTAAAGGTAGTAGTATTTGATAAGACTGGAACCATTACCCATGGGACCCCAGTAGTGAGTCAAATAAAGGTTCTAGTGGAAAGTAACAGAATATCACGTAATAAGATCCTGGCCATTGTGGGAACTGCTGAAAGCCACAGTGAACACCCTCTAGGAGCAGCCATAACCAAATACTGCAAACAGGTACGTTTCCCCCCCTTGTTTAGTAATGTAGTCACCTGCTTTTGGAATCACTCAGACCAAATCCAAATGCATTTGACCATGATTTATGTAGATAGTTGGTATACAGCTTACAGAGATTTGTATTTTCTTATTTTATTTTATTTTATGATATGTCTGATTCTTCATATAGAGAAATATAAAGGTGAAAACAAGAATTAATTATAATGCTACACAGATAACTCCTGTTGACTAAAGAAAATAAGTAATATAAATTATGGTAAGAAACTTTAGATCAGAGAGTTGCATAAGGAAAAGGGAAAGTTATTCCCTGCCTACTTCCATAATTTCTCTCTCCAAACTTTAAAAAGTATTAACCTGTTAGCAGTCTTTTTAAATAACAGGTTTTTTTGAGATACAATTCACATACTATAAAGGTTACCCTTATAAAGTGTAAACTTTATATTCACTATTGTGCATCTATTAACCATTTTTAATGCATGTAACAAAATATATGCATTTATTGTTTTTTTAACTTTACATAGAAAGGTCACACAATGACCAATATTTGGTACCTTGTTTTTCAATTTTATTAAATGATTTTTTCATATCAAGACATATAGATCTGCCTCATTGTTTTTAATGGCTATATTATATTCTATTGTACAATTGGGTTTTGACTCTTACAATATACAGTTAATATCCTTATCAGCTTTTGCAAGTTTATCTCTATGTTAAATGCCTATTAATTCAATTGCTAGATCAAGGGATATATACAGTTAAATTTTTGGGGGGAGTACTTATTAAATTATATTTAGAAATAACACAGGAAATTCAAAAAGATCTCTGAAAAAGAGAGTTTGAGTAGTTACAAACTAAGGGTTACAAATCTTATTTTGGTTTAAGATCACCAATGGTGCCTTTCTCCAAATACATTTAACCTCTGACCTCAAAACTGCCTTCAGCAAAAGAAAAAACTAAAAACCACATGCAGTAACCCACAAAAGGAATTCATGCAGTTAAATTTTGATGAATACTACTGATGCCCATGTGAAAAATATTACCAACACCCACATGGAAGATTGTAATAGTGTATACTTTCATCAGAAGTTAGGACTGCCCATTTCCCCATTCTCACCAACACTATTTTTTCCAATATATTAAATAAAAAATGTTAACTCATTGGTGGTTTGCTTTTCATTTCTTAATTATGAATGAGGTTGATCATATTTTCATATGTGTATTAATCATTTGAATTTCTTTTTCTGTAATCTATCTGCTTGAATCCTTTGCCAATTTTCCTATAGGGTTGCTTATCTTTTTCTCATTGCTTTGTATATGTTCTTTGTAAGTTATTTCACATATTTTTATAGTTAAATGTGGCAATTTCTACCATTGATGTTTCCATTTATTTTTTTTTCCTTTTTACCTATTAACTATTACTGATCTGGCTTCTTTTCATGCACATGGAACAACTTAGAGGATGAAGATCTAAAGAGCCAGAATTCCTTGTTTTACTAAGAACACAGTTATTCTAGAGAGGCACTCTAGTAACTAAAGGCCTTGTTCTTTGTTTTGCCCTTTGCTCTGTACTGAACAGAAAATCTGACCTGACAATAGAATTAAATATTTAACTTGTAATTCTCTACTGGAAAGGACAAAGAATATTGATAAATCATCCATGTTTTCTTTCCCTAAAATTGGTATACATTTTAGAGAGTGGGGTTAAAATAAAGGATTCTGAGGATCCCCTGTAACTTTGGACATTATACTCAACACTTGGTTCCTTTGATTTTATTAAAATCCACTATCATTTAAATATAGGTGATAAAAGCTACACGAGTCCTCCTCTGTGAGTCTGTGTAGTAAAGTATTAAACTTGCCCAAAGGTTTGGCCTTTGGCCCTGGCTCCTAGGTGGTAACATCCAAGTCCTTGGAGAATGTTGCCTGATAAGAATGTCTTGGTTTACCTGGGCCATGCCAGATAGTCTGTGCTAATGATATGATTTATGTTGAGAGACCTAGGGCCATGCTATATCAGCTCAGCCTCTGGAAGGGCTAGAGACTAAGGCCAGCAATGGAGGTCACTCATGTCCACATAACTGAGGCCCAGTAAAAACTCTGGACACCAAGTTCCAGGTGAGCATCCCTGGTTGGCAACATTATAGACATCATCATATAATACATACTTGCTAAGTGAATTAAGCATTATTCACATGACTCTACTGGCAGGGGGCCACTGGAAGCTCCATGCTGGGTATCGCTTGAACCTGTCCTATGCATCTTTCTTTTGCTGATTTTAATCTGTGTCCTTTCACTGCAATAGAACATAATAGTCAATATGAAGACCAAAAATTCCATCGTCAAATAGACAATGATAAGTGATAATGTTTTTATAAACATTTTAAATTAACCAAAAGTAATCTTTGATCTTGCTAATGATGATCTTGGATTATCAGGACAATAGAGGAAATCCTTCTGTTTCTCTTTGCTAGGAGCTGGACACTGAAGCCTTGGGTACCTGCATAGATTTCCAGGTTGTGCCAGGCTGTGGTATTAGCTGTAAAGTCACCAATATTGAAGGCTTGCTACATAAGAATAATTGGAAGATAGAGGAAAATAATATTAAAAATGCATCCCTGGTTCAAATTGATGCAAGTAATGAACAGTCATCAACTTCACCTTCCATGATTATTGATGCTCAGCTCTCAAGTAAGCTAATTTTCTTTGTATTACCAATTACAGGACAGTAATTAACAGATGTCTAATTTATAATCTTGAACTGTTACATAATAAGTAAAAATTGGCATTATGGTTTCATTCTTGCAGATCAATTTTACCATAGGACTCTGATTGCTTCACTCAATTTACTTGAGAACATTTTCCAATATGCTCCTATTTAAAAAAAATCTTTATTGTTGAGAGTATTATATATGTCCCTCTTTTTACCTCTCATTCCCTCCTCCACCTGGTCCCCACTCTGCCCCAGGCCTTTACCACCCTATTGTCTGTGTCCATAGGTAATGCATATATGCATATTAAGTTCTTTGTTTAATCACTTCCCACTCCCCTCCCCTCTTCCTCTGAAATTCTTCAGTCTGTTCCATGTTTTCAGGCCTCTGAATCTATTTTGTTCATCAGTTTATTTTGTTCATTAGATTCTATTTTGATTTTTAAATTCAATTATTGATAGATATGTATTTATTGCCATTTTATCATTCATATTTTTTATAAATCTTTATTGTTGAAAGTATTACATATGTCCCTTTTGCCCCCATTGCCCTCTCCCAGTCCCCTCCCCCCAAGCCTTCACCACCCTATTGTCTCTGTCTATGGGTTATGCATATACTGGTACGAATAAGAGTTCATTGATTGATCTCTTCCCCCCCTTCACCTCCCCTGCCTTCCCTCTGAGGTTTGATAGTTTGTTTGATGTTTCTATGTCTCTGGGTCTATTTTTGTTCATTAGTTTATGTTGTTCATTAGATTGCACATATGAGTGAAATCATATGATACTTATCTTACTCTGACTGGCTTATTTTGCTGAGCATAATGCTCTCTAGGTCCATCCATGCTGTTGCAAATGGTAAGAGTTCCTTCTTTTTCACAGCTGCATAGTATTCATATATTTTAAAATATATATTTTATTTATTTTTTTGCAGAGAGGAAGGGAGAGAGATAGAGAGCTAGAAATGTCGATGAGAGAGAAACATCGACCAGCTGCCTCCTGCACACCCCCTACCGGGGATATGCCCGCAACCAATGTACATGCTCTTGGCCGGAATCGAACCTGGGACCTTTCAGTCCACAGACCCACTCTCTACCACTGAGCCAAACCGGCTTCTGCTTGAATATTTTTTTAAATATTTTATTGATTTTTAAAAAAGAGAAAGGGAAAGAGATAGAGAGCCAGAAACGTCGATGAGAGAGAAACATCGACCAGTTGCCTCCTGCACACCCCCTACCAGGGATGTGCCGCAACCAAGGTACATGCCCTTGACCGGAATCAAACCTGAGACCTTTTAGTCCGCAGTCCGACGCTCTACCACTGAACCAAACCGGCTTCGGCACTTTGAATATTTTTGCCACTCACTTTTAGCCTGCAAAGTTTTTGTTAAGAAATCAGCAGACAGATATATGGGCACTCTCTTGTGGGTAACTAACTGCTTTTCTCTTGCTGCTTTTAAGATTCTCATTTTGCCTGGCCTGTGTGGCTCAGTGATTGAGTATTGACTTGTGAACCAGGAGGTTACTGTTCAATTCCTTGTCAGGGCACATGCCCAGGTTCTGGGTTCGATCCCCAGCAGCCCAGCAGGGAGCATTCAGGAGGCAGCTGATCAATAATTCTCTCTCATTGTTGATGTTACTCTCTCTCCCTTTCCCTTCCTCTCTGAAATCAATAAAAAAAATATTTTTAAAAATATTCTCTTTCTGTCTTTAACCCTTGGCATTTTAATTATGATGTTTCCTGGGTGTGGGACTCTTTAGGTTCCTCTTGTTTGGAACTTTCTGTGCTTCCTGGACTTATATAACTATTTATTTTGCTAAGTAGGGACTTTTTTTTGTCATTTATTCAAATACATTTTTTTTTGCTTGCCTGAGAAGTACTTTTATTTATTTTTTACTTTATTTTATTGTTTGAAATATTACATATATTAGTACATATATCTCCTTTTTCTGCCCATTGACCTTTCCCAGCCTCCCTTACACCTTGTCGCATGCCCTCTTGTGTCCATTGGTTGTGCTTATATGGATGCATACAAGTCCTTTGGTTGCTCTCTTTCTCTCTTTCCCCAACACTGATCAGTCTTCCTGCTATAATTTGACAGTCTGTTTGATGCTTTACTGCCTCTGTATCTATCTTTTTATTCATCAGGTTATCATGTTCTTTATTTTCCATAAATGAGTGAGATCATGTGGTATTTTTCTTTCATTGCCTGGATTATTTCACTTAACATAATGTTCTCCAGTTCCATCCATGCTGCTGCAAATGGTAAGAATTTATTTTTTACCACAGCATAGTATTCCATTGTGTAGATGTACCACAGTTTTTTTTTAATCTGCTCATCTGCTGATGGGCACTTAGGCTGTTTCCAAATCTTAGCTATGGTGAATTGTGCTGCTATGAACATAGGGATGCATATATCCTTTCTGATTGGTGTTTCTAGTTTCTTGGTATATAATCCTAGAAGTGGGATTACTGGTCAAATGGAGGCTTCATTTTTAGTTTTTTGAGGAAACTCCATATTGTTCTCCACAGTGACTGCACCAGTCTGCATTCCCATCAGATGTGCATGAGGGTTCCTTTTTCTCCGCATCCTCACCAGCACTTGAAGTTTTTTGATTTGTTGATGGTTGCCATTCTAACAGGTGTGAGATGGTACCACATTGTCATTTTGATTTGCATCTCTTGGATAATTAGTAACTTTGAGTATGTTTTCATATGTCTCTTGGCCTTCCTTCTGTCTTCTTTTGAAAAGATTCTATTTAGGTCTGTTGCCCATTTTTTTAATTGGATCATTTATCTTCCTTTTATTAAGTTGTATAAGTTCCCTGTAGATGTTGGAGATTAAACCTTTATCAGTGATAACATTTGCAAATATGTTCTCCCATATAGTGGGCTTTCTTGTTGTTTTGTTGATGGTTTCTTTTGCTGTGCCAAAGCTTTTTATTTTGATGTAGTCCCATTTGTTTATTTTCTCTTTAGCTTCCATTGCCCTAGGAGTGGTATCAATGAAGAAATTGCTTTGGCATAGGACTGAGATTTCTCTGCCTGTGGATTCCTCTAGTACTTTTATGGTTTCCCATATTAAGTCTAAGTCCACTATCCATTTTGAGTTTATTTTTATGTATGGTGTAAGTTGGTGATCTAGTTTCATTTAGTTTGTATGTATCTGTCCAATTTTTCCAACACCATTTCTTGAAGAAACTATCTTGACTCCATTGTATGTTCATGCCTCCTTTGTCAATTATTAGTGGTTGGGTCAATATCTGGATTCTCTATTCTGTTCCATTAGTCTATATGTCTGTTCTTGTGCCAGTACCAGGCTGTCTTGAGAACAGTGGCTTTGTAATACAGCTTGAAATCTGGTATTGAGATTCCACCTACTTTGTTCTTCTTTCTGTGGATTGCTATGGCTATGTGGGGTCTTTTTTTAATTCCAGATGAAGTTTTGGAGAGTTCTAAGTCTGTGAAATATGCCATTGGTATTTTAATGGTGATTGCATTGAATCTATAGATTGCTTTGGATAGTATGGACATTTTAATGATGTTGATTCTGCCCATCCATGAACATGGTATGTTCTTCCATCTGTTTACGTCTTCCTTTATCTCTTTTTTCAATGTCCTGTGGTTTTCTACGTATAGGTCTTTTACCTCCTTAATTAAGTTATTTCCTAGGTATCTTAATTTTTTGGTGTGATGGTAAATGGAATTGCTTTTTTAGTCTCTCTTTCTGTAATTTCACTATTGGTGTATAGAAAGTCCATAGATTTCTTGGTGTTAATTTTGTATTCTGCTACATTGCCAAATTCATTTATTAAGTCTGTTACTTTTTTTATGGAGTCTTTTTTTTTTTATGTACTATATCATGTCATCTGCAACTAAGGACAGCTTTACTTCTTCTTTTCCAATTTAGATGCCTTTTATTTCTTCTTCTTGTCTAATTGTAATGGCTAATACTTCCAGTACTATGTCTAACAGGAGTGGTGAGAGTGGGCATCCCTGTCTTGTTCCTGTTCTTAGGGGAAATGGTTTTAGTTTTTGCCGATTGAGTATGATGTTAGCTGAGGGTTTATCATATATGGCTTTTATTATGTTGAGATATAATCCTTCCATTCCCACCTTGTTGAGAGTTTTTATCAAAAAAGAGTGTTGGATTTTGTCAAATGCTTTTTCTGTATCAATTGATATGACTATGTGATTTTTATCTCTCAGTTTGCTTATGTGATATATCATGTTTATTGATTTGCGGATATTGTACCATCCTTGCATTCTTGGGATAGATCCTACTTGGTCATGGTGTATGATCTTTCTGACATATGGCTGGACCCGATTTGCTAGAATTTTGTTGATTATTTTGTCATCTATGTTCATGAGGGATATTGGCCTGTAATTCTCTTTCATTGTATTGTCTTAATCTGGTTTTGGTATTAGGGTGATGCTGGCTTCATAGAATGAGTTTGAAAATGTTCCTTCCTCTTGAATTTTTTGGAATAGTCTGAGGAGGATAGGTTTTAGTTCTTCTTTGAATGTTTGGTAAAACCCCCCTGTAAAGCTGTCTGGCCCCAGGCTTTTGTTTGCTGGAAGCTTTTTGATGACTGCTTCAATTTCTTCCATAGTTATTGGCCTATTGAGATGTTTAGATTCTTCCTGATTAAGTTTTGGGAGGTTATATTTTTCTAGGAATATGTCCATTTCCTCCAGGTTGTCCAGTTTGTTGGAATAGAGTTGTTCGTAGTATTTTTTAACAATTCTTTGTATTTCTGTGGGGCCTGTAGTTATTTCTCCTCTTTCAATTCTGATTTTATTTATTTGGGTCATCTCTCCTTGCTTCTTGGTTAGCAAGGCTAAAGGTTCATCAATCTTGTTTATCCTTTCAAAGAACCAGCTCTTTGTTTTGTTGAACTTTTGTATTGTTATTTTGGTCTCAATGTCATTTATCTATGCTCTAATCTTTATTATTTCCTTCCTTCTGCTTACACTGGGTTTT